TCAGAGGTCACATGATGCTCTCCAGGACAACAGCCTTGGTGTTGCCATCTTCAACAGGGCTGGGGCCCCCGCTGGCCCCCCGCACCTTGTACTCCAGGTGATGGAGCCCAAACACAGGCTGAGTCAAGCGGCGCCAGCGCTGGTCAGGGAAGGAGGAGAGAAGGGGTTAATGGGACCCATGGATCCAGGCACAAACCCCGACCTTGGTCCCACCCCCAACTCCCCTCCATCCAGGCATCTGGGCTCCCATCCTCCCACCCACACTGCTTCTCACTCCTGACCCACAGCCCCTCCTATAGCTCCATGGTGCCCCTCATTCCTGACTTGCAGCCCTGTCCATGGTAAAAACCCAGGTGTTTGGGCTCCCAGCCCCCTCTATTCTCACCCCCCAGCCCCTACTCCCTGCCCAGAGAACTCAGGTGTCCAGGTGCCTCCCCCACACACAGTACCCCTCCCTCCCTATCTGTAGCCCCCTCTATGATGAGAACCCAGGCATCTAGGCACCAGCCTCCACTGCTCCCCAGAGAGCCCAGGTGTCTGGGCTCTCATCCCTGGCCCACACTCCCTGCCCAGAGAACCAAGCCCTCCAACCATCCCCCTGGCCCAGCAGGGCTAACCTGGGGCAGGGGCCCAGGCTGGAGCAGCAGCTGGGCAAGGGCAGCACTCGGCAGGCAGAGCACAGATGAGAGGGTCAGGCCCCAACCCACAGCCTCGGCCCACCAGGGGTAGACATAGGTGTGGCGCCCGCCGTAGGTAAGTGGCCGGTAAGATGCTGCATGGAACAGGAAGATGCCCTGGAAGGCGGGGGGGGAGTGAACCCAGCCATCTGGAATCCTCCACCTGGGCTCCTAGAGCAGGGCCCTGGCTCCCCTCCAATGCTGCTCTTTGACACCTGCGTTCTCCCTGGTATTCCACAGCCCCCACCCTCAGCACCCATAAAGAACCCTGGCATCCAGGCTCTCATCCACAGGCCTCTCCCCCTTCTCCCCCTCCCCCCAGACAACCCAGGCTCCCTGCTCCCACCTCCTAGCTGCCACCCTCCACAGAGAACCCCAGCATCTGAGTGGTACCAGGCAGACAAGGGGCGTCAGCACCATCCAGCACCACTTCATCCAGCGGCTAGGACGGTAGCCAATCATGCAGGACACATCATCCAGGAACCGGTCAGCACCTGTTCCAGAAGGGGAGGGTCATGGTGGGAGGTGGCTCAGAAACCTTGTGGTACCCCTCACTCCTAACCAGCAGCCTCTCTCATCAACCCAGTGCCCCTCACTCCCATCCGATGCCTGTCACTCCTAACCCAAAGCTCCCCACCCTACAAATGGTGCCCCTCATGGCTGACTCACGGCCCCTCCTCACCCCATGGGGACTTACCATAGACCCAGGCAATGATGACGCTCTCCCAGAAGGCCTGCCACAGGAGCGTGGTCCCACTGGCTGAGTAGTAGTCAAAGAGCTGGAAGACGTACATGCCGCCCTGGGCAGGGGTGGGGCAGGTGAGCACAACATGCCCCTCACTCCTGACCTGCACCCCCTCCAGACCCTGTGGTACCTCTCACCCCCAATCCATGGGCCCCCTCACATAGCCCTATGGTACACCTCGCTCTCAACCCACAGCCCCCCATCCCACCCTATATTGATGCCCCTGACCCACAACTCCACCTCAGTGACCATGGAGAGGTCGATGCAGAAGCAAACAAGGCAGCATAGCAGAACCATGACCTCGCGCTGGAACCGGAACTGATAGGCTGGTGGCACCACATCCAGAATGCCAGTCACGAAGCCCTCGACACCCACAAACTGCAGGCATGAGGTGGGGGGGAGCGGGGTTTGAATACAGAGGGCCCCAGGCACTCAAGCCCCTACTTCCTGGAAACCCAGATATCTGGGCATCCACCCTAAGGAACTCAGGTGTCCCAGTGTCCCCAGTCCAGGGAACCCTGGCATCTGGGCACTCACCCTAGTGAGCCCAGGTGTCCAAGCAGCCAACCCCCAGTGCAGGGAACCCAGGTGTCCAGGCCTCAGCCCCTCAAGGTACCCAGGTGTCCAGGCACCCAATCCCCACTGCAGGAAACCCAGGTGTCTGCTTCCCCTCACCCCCCCCTCCACCCCACTGCCCAACAGGGAACCCGGACATCCAGGCACACCTGACTGTCCAGGCCCAGCATGAGCAGCATGATGAAGAAGAGCGCAGCCCAAAGCGGTGCCACTGGCATCAGCGCCACAGCCCGTGGGTAGGCAATGAAGGCCAGGCCAGGGCCTGCAGTGCAGGAAGAGGAGGGGGGCAGCTGGGACCCAGGTGTCTGAGGCCCCGTATCCACCCCCTCTCCAGAGCCCACTTCTTGCCCAGGGCAGGGAGAGAACTCAGGCATCTGGGCTCCCAACCTAACAAGACCTCCTGGCTCCAACCCACCAAGACCCATTTAGGGATAAGACCCAGGTGTCTGGAGCAGAACAGGAACCTGGGTGTCTGGAGGCAGAGAATCCAGGTGCCCAAAGAGGCAGGAATGCAGGCATCTGGGCAGTAGGGAACCCAGGCATCTCGGGCCGGGTGGGGGGAAAACGGACACTCAGGCATGTGTAGGGAACCCAGGTGCCTGGGGGAGCAGGGAAGGAACTCTGGCATCAGGGTGGAAGCACAAGCCTCCAGGGTCACTGGAGGTCAGGGACCCCAGGCCTCCAGGGTCAGGAAATGCAGGCATTGGTTGGGGGGGAGGAGAGAAGGGTGGGCAGGCTTACCTGAATCAGCAACAGTGCCCACATCCGTGCCCTGCTCATGAGCCATGAAGCCAAGGACACAGAAGACAACAAAGCCAGCAAAGAAGCTGGTGCCACTGTTGATGGCAGCCAGGAGCAGTGAGTCCCTGTGGGGTCATAGGGTTGCAGGGAGGTCATGGATGTCACAGTGGTGTCACAGGGGTCAGGCCCCCCTCTAATCCCCCCATGGCACCCTAAGGTGTTCAGGACAAGGGCAGAGGGGTCTAGGGGTGTCTTTGGGAGTATGGGGGACTGGGAGACCCTGGGGGATGTGGGTGGCTCAGGGGGATCCCCTGGGGTTTGGAGGAGGGATGAGAGGGTCTTTGCAGGGGGTTAGGGGCCTGGGGGCAGATAAGCATCATGGTCTTAAGGGAAGGAGCAGCTCAATCTCAGAGGTCAGATCATCTTGCTGACCCTGTTCAGCATGGAGAAGGAAGGGGCAAAAAGGTCCCTGGAGCAGAGTAGACATCCAGCTGTGCCTCAGAGGCCCTGAGCTGAGCTGGAAATGCTGCTGAGCATGAGCTCGGCGTGCAGTGGAGAGGGCCAGTCCCTGAAGGTGGCAGCACTAGCAGCTGGCTGTCAGCAGCACTTGCATGTGCAAAAGGCAGAGAGTACAGGGAGAAAGAAGCCACTCAGAAGGGGAGGAGTGTGCAGCATGAGCATGCTTCCCAAAAGGCATGGACACAAAGTTGCTCAGGCCCGCTTCCTTTGCAGCTTCTCTGCAGGGACTTTCCACGGTCGTCACTACCAAGTAGATGCAGGGGGACCCTGATGCTGCCCTTCCCAGACAGCTCTCCCGCACCTTGGGAAATGCTGGGAACCCAAGTGCCACGCCTCATGGGTTTAAAATGGAGCAGGGTGCAGCTTGCCTTCCTGCTTGGTAGGGAGGTGCCGCTTGTGGAGACTGGAGATCCCTGCATGCATGGCAGCAGGGTGGGGCTGAATGGAGACATGAACCATCTGACTATTATGCTTTGCTTGGCCTCCCCATCCAGCACGAGAAGTCTGGGGGACAGCGCCAGCAAAACAATATCCTCCGGGCCCGGTGGCACTTTTGGCAGGAGCTTAAAGCTCATCTCTGCAGGAGACTGAACTTACTTGGGGCCTGAGACTAGGGAACAAACTCCCACAGGAAGCAAAGGGCATCCCTTACTGTCCCGCTTTGTGTAGCAGCCTGGACCATATAGAGACGCACAAGGCCCAGAATGCAGGGTATGGAAAGCAATGGGACAGGCAGAAAGGAAATGCCCACTCAGCAGGTGATGGTGCAGGGGGTGTCCACGGGATGTACTGCCCCAGGAAGAATAAAGCAGTAGGACATGCACTGACTAAGGATGGGGAGATCAGTGAAGAAGAAAAGGTCTGCTGTAGGATGTCCGCAAAGGCAAATATTTTCCACCACAGAAACAAGCAGCCGGGCACCCTACTGCGTATCACAGCACCACTATGCTGCTCGAGCAACGACCGGTTGGAGTCCAGCAGTATTTTGCAAAGTAATCCCAGCAGTCCTGAGGGGCATGTTCCTGGTATATTGCTA